ATATATATATATAAACTATTATAGTTAGGCTACCAGAAGTAAATATGTGTTCCTAAGCCTTTTAATCCAATGTGAAACCTTAAATGTCCGCACATTGGTTTGATATTTTATGTGCTACAAAAAGCCTAGCTTATTAATATATGTGAAGTGGAGGGTTGTACACATAGCCTCGGTGCTATGCCTATGTGAGGGCCGTACACATAGCCTCGATGCTATGCCTATGTGAGGGCCGTACACATAGCCTCGGTGCTATGCCTATGTGAGGGCCGTACACATAGCCTCGATGCTATGCCTATGTGAGGGCCGTACACATAGCCTCGATTCTATGCCCTATGTGAGGGCCGTACACATAGCCTCAGTGCTATGCCTATGTGAGGGCCGTACACATAGCTCTCGATGCTATGCCTATGTGAGGGCCGTACACATAGCCTCGGTGCTATGCCTATGTGAGGGCCGTACACATAGCCTCGGTGCTATGCCTATGTGAGGGCCGTACACATAGCCTCGGTGCTATGCCTATGTGAGGGCCGTACACATAGCCTCGGTGCTATGCCTATGTGAGGGCCGTACACATAGCCTCGATGCTATGCCTATGTGAGGGTTGTACACATAGCCTCGGTGCTATGCCTATGTGAGGGCCGTACACATAGCCTCGATGCTATGCCTATGTGAGGGTTGTACACATAGCCTCGGTGCTATGCCTATGTGAGGGCCGTACACATAGCCTCGATGCTATGCCTATGTGAGGGCCGTACACATAGCCTCCATTCTATGCCTATGTGAGGGCCGTACACATAGCCTCGATGCTATGCCTATGTGAGGGCCGTACACATAGCCTCGGTGCTATGCCTATGTTAAGGCCGTACACATAGCCTCGGTGCTATGCCTATGTGAGGGTTGTACAACATAGCCTCGGTGCTATGCCTATGTGAGGGCCGTACACATAGCCTCGATGCTATGCCTATGTGAGGGCCGTACACATAGCCTCGGTGCTATGCCTATGTGAGGGCCGTACACATAGCCTCGATGCTATGCCTATGTGAGGGCCGTACACATAGCCTCGGTGCTATGCCTATGTGAGGGCCGTACACATAGCCTCGGTGCTATGCCTATGTGAGGGCCGTACACATAGCCTCGATGCTATGCCTATGTGAGGGCCGTACACATAGCCTCGGTGCTATGCCTATGTGAGGGCCGTACACATAGCCTCGGTGCTATGCCTATGTGAGGGCCGTACACATAGCCTCTGTGCTATGCCTATGTGAGGGTTGTACAACATAGCCTCGGTGCTATGCCTATGTGAGGGTTGTACAACATAGCCTCGGTGCTATGCCTATGTGAGGGTTGTACAACATAGCCTCGGTGCTATGCCTATGTGAGGGTTGTACAACATAGCCTCGGTGCTATGCCTATGTGAGGGTTGTACAACATAGCCTCGGTGCTATGCCTATGTGAGGGCCGTACACATAGCCTCGATGCTATGCCTATGTGAGGGTTGTACACATAGCCTCGGTGCTATGCCTATGTGAGGGCCGTACACATAGCCTCGATGCTATGCCTATGTGAGGGTTGTACACATAGCCTCGGTGCTATGCCTATGTGAGGGTTGTACACATAGCCTCCATTCTATGCCTATGTGAGGGCCGTACACATAGCCTCCATTCTATGCCTATGTGAGGGCCGTACACATAGCCTCCATTCTATGCCTATGTGAGGGCCGTACACATAGCCTCCATTCTATGCCTATGTGAGGGCCGTACACATAGCCTACATTCTATGCCTATGTGAGGGCCGTACACATAGCCTCGGTGCTATGCCTATGGGAGGGCCGTACACATAGCCTCGGTGCTATGCCTATGTGAGGGCCGTACACATAGCCACGAGGCTATTCATAAAGGAGCCTTACGCCACTTCGTAAAATTAAAGACGATTTTAACTTTTAAAAGAAAGTGGGCTGCAGGGGACCTTTAGGCTTACCCAAAACACGCTCAATTATGTGGGAAACTCATGTAAATTCAGAGAGAGGAAATCTTTTTTTTTTTTTTAAAATTCAGAGTCCGTCCTCAGTCAACTTAAAAGTTCTCTTTTTGATAAAATTGAAGATTAGCAGACCACCTGCCGGAACTACTTTTTTGGGGATTAAAAACTGTTGCAAACTAGGCTTAGCCTAGATTCTACATCTACATCTATTATTTTTGTGCCTTTAGAACCCTCCTGCATGTCGGTGGCATTTTATTTCCGTATCTACACCCCCCATCCTTTTTCTGTTAAGTGTTTTAACACCCTATCCTCACCCACCGCGCCCTTCCCTAGGACTTAGGCTACCGGAGTAGATCTAGAGAGGCCGCGGCTATTCGGACTCCAGTCCGAACAGCCGGGGGAGGCTAATCGGACTCTCGAGTCTGAATTCGAGTCCGAATAGCCTTCCGTGGCTATTTGGACACAAACTCCAATGTGCGTGCGCAATCACTAGGTGTACCAGGTGTGAAGCAGAAAAACAATTTGACCTTGGCCTTCCTCGGTGTCTACGATCAGGCCAAGGAACTTACAACAAAAGGGCGCCGACCGTGGTGACCCAGTGCAAACTGTTGTCTTTTCTTTACAACGGATAAATGTAATAATAGGGCCGGGCAGTGTGGGCAATGGTGGTATGGGAAGGAAAGATCTATTTATGAAAAAAAAAAAAGGAAGCGTAAGTGGAGGGGCGGGCCTGAGTAAGTAAGATAGAGAAAGAAAAAGTAAGAGAAAGAGAAAGAGGAAAAGTGAGAGAGAGAGAGAGAGAGAGAGAGAGAGAGAGAGAGAGAGAGAGAGAGAG